GCCCTGTGTCTTCTGTCAGCACCCATGGAACTGTTACAGCCTTGGCTTACCTCACAAGCAGGTAAAATCTCAGTGCCCTCACAGTTCCTGACAAGCTTATATCCTTATTGAATTTCACATTCAAAACACCATAAATTAAAATAATTTAATCTTCATTTTGTGGATTAGAGCTGAATCAGAGAAGTTAACTCTTCCTAGGTCACAGAGGTGGTTAGTGCTAGTGGGGAGGTTTTTGTTCAACTCTGTCCAATTCCAGAACCACAACTTTCCATAACATGTTGACATGATCGCAGATGTTCAAGTGCCTGTAGTTCTATTTGTGGCACAGCTCCTTCCCCCTCCCCCAAACCCCTTGACCTTTGAGGCATCTCTGTTGCTATGATGATAAGAAAGCTCAGGTGAGAAATGGAAAACAATTAAACAGCATCTCTTTCAAAGGAACATAAACAAGATAAAACCATCAGGAGTTGCTTCCATTGAAGAAGTTTTTCTCTGATATTTATGTAACAGTTGGCTTGCAGCTCCGACCTACTGTCCTTTCTTCTGGTGAGTGGATTGGATCCATTTCCCAATGAGCAGGATGGGCTGAGTCATGTGAACTTCAGATGGGGCAATGGGGTGGCTGGAGTAATGGGCTACTACTCCAGGATGACAGAATGACCTTGTACATTTCCACAATGCATTTTCATCCTGTTTAATTTGATCATTGCCTTATCTTTATGATAGAGAGTGACCTGTTTTTCCGGTGGCTTCCTGTGGCCTGTGACACAAAGCCCCATTTCTTAGCTGGGGCTTAAGACCCTCCGTGGTCCAGCCCTAGTCTACTACGTGGCCAACACAACCTTCCCTTCTCCTCTGAAGGCTTCCTAATCCATCCCATGCCTCAGGTGGAACCGGCCTGTCCTTCCTTTGTGTTCCACATTTGTCTGTTTCCCTTCTCTCACAGAATCTGTGACACTTTGGAGCTATCTACACTGATATGTTTATCTTTCCCACCAAGCCATGAGCTCTTGAAACAGGGCTGCTCATATTTGTGGCTTGCAGCTAAAGACTCAGAAACACTTACACACACACACACACACACACATATGATCTATCTCTGTATCTGAAATTTTACCATTACTCTTATTTTGGGGTTAAGCACTTTTTAAAAGCACAAAACATCCAAGGAGGATTAGTACAGATGTTTTATGGATATTCTGACAAGATGTAATCTACCCAATCATTTTCCTCTTTGATAAGAGTGACCTGGATGGCAAGATTCTTGGGTGCTAGCACATGAATCAAGTGTGATCAACCTGAAAACACTTGCTGTCTTTATCTTGCTAATCATCCTGCAGAGCGCCAACAGCCCAGGACTCTAGGGCTGCCTCTGTCCCAGGCCAGCCCTTGACAGGGATGGGGATGTTAGTGTAAGAGCCCAGGCCATTGCTGGCACAGGGCCCTGGCCTGGAGTGCTCTGACCCCAGCACTGGGTCATTCCAGGGTCCCTGAGTCCTGGTGCCACCTGCTCTGTTCGCAGAAAGAGTCCTCACTGATTCACCTCAGCCTACAGAAGGAAGGAGTCTCCTCTCTCCAGCCTACTGGTCAGACAGGCCTGGGCTCAAATGCTCCCATGGCCTTTAGGTGCTGTGTCATCTCCAGCAAGCCCTCCAAGCTTCCTGAGGCTCAGTTTCTGCAGGTGTGAAGGATGAATGAGGCCACTCGCTTGCGAGGATTGTGGTGAGGCTAAGAGGAACATGCATGGGGAAGGGGGCATTGCATACAGAGTGTGCTAGCTCCCCTTCCCTCTTCTTCCAGCCCTCCTTCTCTCCACCTCTCCTGTTTCATCTGCCCTTTCGGCCTTTCCTCTCCACTTCCTTCCTCCTTAATGGCTTTTGGAGAATGGGCGCATGCATAGGAATGCACACTCGCCCCAATCCACATTTGTTGTAGACATGCTACATGGTGACTCTATGCATCGCTGGGGGAGGGATAAAAGATAAGGAAAGTGCAGTCCCTTACCAGAGGGAGCACCATTATTTGCACACCAGTGTGCACTGGATGCCCATGGGGGGTGTGCATGTGCATTTTCATTGGTAGGATGCTCTCGCTCACCTCTACAGTTAGCCTGTGACAGCTCCCTTCTGGGGACATTTGGATAGGCCACCTTGGATGACCCAGCCTGGCAACATCCATGTCACCTCTGCATCTGATTCTGGTTGGGACTGAGGGCTGGGAGTGGGCTATGCTTCAGTACGGTTTTCCAGGACATTCGGTGGACATGAAGGGCAAGCACCAGGGGAGGCAGGGACCGGTTCTCAGAGAGCAGTGAGTAGGGGGTCCCCGGGGCTGCTGCAGAAAGAGTGGGGAAGAGCCACCAGCATCTTTTTCCAGCACAAACACTAGTGGCAGCATCAGGGGGCCCAGGTCCTCTGGGCTGACCCTCTCCCTGGAGACTTTTGTAAAGCAAGGCATGCCTGCATGTGGATTCTGGGTGCCTCCTCTGTGCCCACTGGGCAGTGATGAGTGCTCATCATCCTTGAACATGAGGACATATGCCCCATATGTTCTCAAAATCCTGAAGTGATGTCACAACAGGAAGGGATGTTGGGTAGCTGGTTGGTACAGTTGTTTCCCAAATGTGTTCTGGGGACTCTTGGCCCCCAGGTTTGTAATGGGTATTCTGGGAAGCAATGGGGTGTCTGGAAAAATACATTTGGGAAATGCTGAATTCATCCCCCTATGCCCACACCCCAAGAGTCATGGCACACATTGGAACACAGGATGGCAAGAGGCCTCACATGGCTTTAGATTTGCTTAACATGTCATTTTACACATCTATTTGCACATGGAACACCCTTTTTGTTTGGGCTGTTTATCACCATTTTTCCAGGCTGGTATTTTATAGATCACACTTTGGGACACATGGATGTAGTCAAACCCTTGGTTTTACAGATGAAAAAGTGGTGGGGCAGCGAACTTGGGTTACTCCATGGAAGGTCTCACTGTTTGAAGATCACCAGTTCCTTTCCTTCTATTTCTCCCCCCTGTTCCCATGTCAACCCTATAACTTCCAGCTCTTTTGCTTGGTGGCCACTCCTGGCAGGGCTTGGATCCTGTTATCCCCTAGGGAGAGTGATGGGGGATCTTTTTGCTGACTCCGGGCATAGATGGTGCAGCCTCAAGAAACCTGAGTTGTAGGGAGTTCAGGGAAGCCCAGGCTGCAGGCTTAAACTTGGACCTGCTGGTCTCTGAGTGACTGCTGAGTTGCGGGGAGTCTAGAAAGACACTTATGAAAGAGGATGGTTAGTAAGTTCATCTTCTCTCCCTGTTGTTCATTTTATCTTTTAAAAATGTTTTTATTTATTTATTTATTTATTTATTTATTTATTTATTCTTGAGACAGAGAGAGACAGAGCATGAGCAGAAAAAGGGCAGAGAGAGACACACAGCATCTGAAGCAGACTCCAAGCTCTGAGCTGTCAGCACAGAGCCCAATGTGGGGCTTGAACTCACAAACTGTGAGATCATGACCTGAGCCGAAGTTGGATGCTTAACTGACTAAGCCATCTAAGTGCCCCATAAAATGTTTATTTATTTTTGAGGGAGAGAGAGAGAGAGAGAGGAGGGGGGGCAAAGAGAGAGAGGGACAGAAGTTCTGAAGCAGGCTCCACACCTACAGCAGTGAGCCTGACATGGGGCTCGAACTTGTGAGCTATGAGATCCTGACCTGAGCTGAAATCGGACGCTCAACTGACTGAACCACCCAGATGTCCCCATCAGTTTAAGTGACAGTTACTCCTCCTCAGGAAACGTTTAGAAGTGGTACAATGAGGAAGTTTCATTAACCAATACATATGCACTACCTATGCCGCACTAGTAATTGACATCAGAAGACAGCACTGAGAACCTGATGCATCTGTTCCCACCATCAACCCTGACGCTTGGTACTAGAGGGTTTCAGAAGAAGTCCCTCAAGATGGGTCACTTCGCCATGCAGATTATTTTGAGCTGAAAGTAATTGGTGCCCAAAACACCAAGGAAGAAACTCTGACCTTCCCCCAACTATCTCTAAGAATTTAGATAGAGGACCTACTCCAGGAATGGAGCTATCATCACAATTACATTATCCAGAGGAAGTAAAAGGAGGAGTTTAGCAAAGTATCTTTGTTAAAATTCCTCTCCCTGTCCCATTGTTTCTGAGGGGCCCAGTACACATTTGTTTACCAAATAATTACCCTTTTTCACCTTCCAGTGAATCGCCTTCCTTCCCTTTGAAGTCCCAGACCCCTACCTCCTTCCCCTTAGTTCAGGGGACATATATATCTCATTTTTCCTGCCTTTGGAATCCCACGTTTATGTGGATTCCCAGGACATACAAAATTAAATGTGATTTTTGTGGCCAATCTGTCTCATGTCAACTTGATCCTTAGACCAGCCAGAAGGACCTTGAAACATAGAATAAAACTTTTTCCTCCTCAACACTACCATGGAGCCATGTCCACTTGAGGGATGAGAACATTGAAGCCAGAAAGGTCAAGCAAGTTGACTGAGGACCTAGGATCAGGAAAGGAGGATCCAGGGCCTAAACCCAAGACAATGACATTCTGCAGTCTGTGCTCCAGCCATGGTCATTAGGGGAAGGATGGGTTCACTCATAGTTATTTAATGGGGCCGATTTCTCTAATACTGTGCCTTAGAAAACCATCACTTCAGCCAGTGTCCTCACAGCCAGGGCAACCTATTTCTTGAGGAACATTCCACGTTTATATTTGTTTCATGAAGCTGGTACTTTTGTGGGGAAAAGAAGCTGGTCACTGGGCCCTCCTCTCCTGGGAGGCCCAGAAGCCCTCTGCACTGTCTATGCTGAGGACAGGCCAATGGGGCCAGAAGTGGATGGTCCCAGCCTCACACACGCAGACTGTAGTGGAGAACACAATGTCACACTGGTGAAAAGCAAGGCCTGGGTGGTGGTTGTCTTTCCCCAGACAATTACAGTAATGCTGTTTGACTCTGAATGCTTGGTTACATTTCAAATTTATTTCCAATCATTTAGAACTGGATCGATGGGAGACAAAGGTGCCTTTTAGCGCTGGCACCTGCTGTTCCCCCCAAATGTCAAGGACTGACATTTGATGCCATTATCCCCAGTCAGCTTACAGATGACTCACTTCCTTGCTTCCCCAGCCCTCAGGCCCACCCACCCAGCAAGGACTTTCACACCATGCTGATGACAAACTACATTGCCCAGGAGGACCCAGATTTTCTCCCTCTGGCAAAGGTGGGCCTCCTGGGTGACCACTGCATCCCTGGGTGCCTGGGACAGGCCTCTCCTGGCTCAGTTCCTCCTTCTTTCTTTCCTGTCCCCAGGCTGGCACCCAGAGTTCTCAGGTCAGGTGCATATCTTGGGATGAGATGGGTGCTCTCATGGTCTGCCTGGTGGTCCAGGTAGCAGGGTGGGGCTGTGGGGTGTATCTTTTCTCGTGAAGAAGGCATTGGGGGAGAGGGGACCCGGTGCCCCTCAGATAAAGTACTCCTTTCTGCTGCTGTCCCCACCTGTGTCCTGGAGGGAGAGGTCATCCTGCAGGGCTGCGTCTGCACTTTCGGCAAACTCCGTGCCCTTGGCCTCATTGGTGTGGTAGGTGCCCTTGTGCCCGTACAAGTAGCGTAGAGTGATGACAAGCAGGCAGATCAGGATGATGGCTATCGCTGCAATTACGCCTGCAGAGGGAACAAATGCATGGCTCTGTCTGGGGCAGGCGCCTGGGACTGGGGTCAGGACTCATAGGGCTTGTGCCAGGATAGACACTGCTACAGTCAGCACCAACCCCAGACAGGCTGGCTCATTCCTGCCCTTCTCCTTCCTGCCTGGCATGTGCTCACCCTTATCCGCACCCATCTGAGTTACTCTGACCTCCCTTCCTCTTTCCCCCTCCTTCCACTCAGACTGGCGCAGACTGAGGCTGGGATAGGATTCCAGCACTGACCCTTGCTCAGGGCCACTCAGTCTACTGAGGAAGACAGACTTCTGTGCATACCCTGCAGAATCAACTACATGAGTTTACCTAAAACTGAGAGGTTCATGGCCTCAGGACTTGCAGTTTTAAATCCAGAATGATCTCAACTGAGAAGTTCCCCAGGGTGTGAGACTTGGTACTAAATCTAGGAAAGTGCCCCGAAGGCTGGGCCCTGGTGGCCGCCCTGCCTTGTGCACTCTTAGAAGGAACAAGACAGGGCCATGGGAAGCACTTGGGACAGGTTGGGGGGAGTGTGGCTCACTGTTCATCACCCTACCTTAGCTCTGGCATGCTCTCTGGAGGTGAAGGCTGCATGGGTTTGCCAGAGGAGCAGGGGCAGCCAAGCAGAGGACTGGAGAGGGAGGGGGTTCTGCAGGACACCCAGTAAAGGCGTGGAGTGTGAACAGCAGTCAGCCCCTCATTTCTGTTTGGACTCAGGAGCGGTTGGGAGGTGAAGCTGGGAGGCTGGGCGGTAGGGGCCAGGTCACTCAGGGCCTGGGAGTGATGGGGTGAGGGGACACCAGTGAGTTTTAGATGGGCTTAGGCGTGGCCCCTCATGCAACCTCACCCTCATTCAGGCATTTGCTCTGAAGCCTTGGGTGGATTCTCCCCTGGGCACTCCCTCTGATTCTCCTGCTTGGAGGCCCAGGACAGCTCACCTGCAATGATGGCGATGTTCACACCCAACGTCATGAAAATGTGGTCAGAGTCGACCATTTCTGTGAACAGAAGAGAAGAACCTAAGTGGGGAGAGGAAATCCTCCCATGCTCAGCAGTGTGTCTGCACCCCCCCCCCCACTCACAGTTGCACAGCATTGTGAACGGGCCGAGTGGACAGAGGGCGGTGTGTGTGTGGACAGGCTTCTGGCTCTTCCTGGTCGTTGACCAGTCTGGAGAGGACGTGGGAACCACAGTGGAGGCTGACCTGGTTCCCGCGTCTCTGAGTGGGGTGAGGGGCGGACTCCTTGCATTGGGCAGGTGCTCGGTAGACACGTTTAGGTAGGCCAGCTCAGTAGTGCGCATGAAGGTAGGCAGTCATGTGCCCGGTACCAGCAGCATCTGCCTTTGGGCCTCGGCTTTCTCACAATAATGGTAAAAACAGACCATTTGTGAAGTGTCCCCACACGTGGAGGGTCCAAACATGCCAGGTGTTGGTTCAGTTGCCTCTCACCCATCATATCATGTGGTCTTCCCAGCAGTCCCATGAGGTGGATGGTATTACTAGCCTATTTCACAGGTGGGACCCTGAGAGTGAGGGAGTAACGTGTCCAGGGTCACACTGGCAGGACAGTCAGCCCACACTCCCGCATCTGGGGGGGCAACTTTCTCCTTTCTCTGTTGAAGCCACCCTCCCAGGAGGGCTCCTGTCTGGTGGGTCCTCCCCAAGTCCCCTCTGTGGTCTCCGATTGGCTCTCTTGTGGGAAGGGCCACATTGGGGCACTCTCAGAGTTACTGACTGGTTGGTCTGGCCACAGGGCTAGCATCTCAATTGGAATAGGAAGATGTACATCACCTCCAGCTGCTTCACAGAGTGTCTCCTCTCTCCTCTGGGAGATGAGTGAGGAGAAGGATTTATTAGACCACAGAAATCTCAGTGTTAACATGGAAATCCCATGTTTCAATTATAATGGCTACGCATATTAAAGCAGAGAAGGCTACTTCGTAATAGTCCTTTCCGCTCAGATAATCACTTTAATTATAGTGGGATGAGGTCATTCTCCCCAGCTTCCAGATGCCTCTTTCTGAGAAGGGACTGGCCGTGGTGCGAGGAAGGAGAGTGTGGTGAGTAAAGGGAAGGCTCCAGGCTGGAGGCAGAGGAGGAGGAGAGCCCGCCCAGAGTTTGGAGGTGGTGAAGAGGGTAAAAGAGGTCCCTCAAGTCAGCAAGAGACAGAGCAAGCACACAGCAGGAGTCAGGGAAGGGGAGGGAGGGGGAGGCAGCAGGAGAGCTCAGTTCAGCCTTCTAAGTGCTTCACGGTACTGAGAACTGAGGCAGGAGGGGCAGGAAGTGCAAGTGGCATCTGACTCTGAGATTCAGGGTGGAAAACAACAGCCTGGATTTCAGCATGTAGCACATAGTAGGTCCTCAACAACCATCTGCTGAATGCATGACTGCATCCATAAATGCAGGCATATATGAGTGAATGGATTCAGATGCTGGCACTGCGGACCTTATTCAATCACCAAGAACTTCAGAGTTCAAGAAGAATAAAGAATGGCCCCCTCCTGAAGTTGGCATGGATGGCCATAGAAGTTCAAATACCTAGAATTGCCACTTGGGATTTTCCAGGTTGAAGACCAGCATTTCTTAGGCCAGTGTGTCCAACCCAGTCAGGGTTAGAAGGGACTGCTGGTTCTTCCTCTTCGAAAAACACCTAGCAACAGCTTAGCCTGTGACGGGTGCCATCCTCAGCATTTACCGGGCTTGGCCCCCATGGCCGTCCCATTTGGTAGAAGTTACTATTATTCCCATCTTACAGATTTTGGAATCTGAGTGCCAGAAAAGTGTTACTGTATTCCCTGGATCTTATAGCTGAAAGAGAGTCAGAGGTCAACCAAGTCAAGCCCAGGCTGCTCTGGGTCAGTGTGCTGAACCCCGCCTGGCACTGCCCAGTACTGCTTAAGTGCTAGATGAGGTATTTGGCTTGAACCACTTGGGGTGAATTTCTTAGCTTGTGTTTAGGGACCTTGCACCCAAACCTATATACTGGAACACTGGAAGCTCTCCCTGCAGGCCAGTGGGGTGGGGACAGGAGGGATCTGAGGTCTCTGAGGGGTCAACAGGGCTCCCTCTGAGCTCATGTGTGCCCGGGAGCAAGGTGGGCAGGCATGCCTCATCTCCATGCCCTACCCCTCTGGGTGTGTGGAGCTGAATTTGCACAATGTGATTGATCCCAGGGAGGTGACACTTCAGCATGACCGGAACGGCTATAGAGCTCAGAACTGGCACAGCAGAGGAAGCTCAGGCCTGTCTGGGAGGATGGAGATGGTGTGAGAAGTGGTTCTCAAAGCGTACTCCTGGGACCAACAGTATTTCCTACAAGCCTGCTAGAAATGCAAATTGTTGGGCCCCATCTCAGACCTGCTGTATCAGAAACAAGGACCTGGATCTCACAATCTGTGGTGATAGGCCTCTAGGTGGTTCTGATGCATGCTCTGTGCTGAGAACTGCTGGTGTATGAGAAGGCTTCTCCGAGGGAAGTTGTTAGGATTGGCCTTTGAAGGATGAATAGGAGTTTGCTGCACAGACAGGAGTATAAGTGTTGTAGACAGAGAGCTCAGCACCCACAACAATGCTCACCTCTCTGTAGCTCTCACTTTCCCTCTAAATGTCTGTTCACCATCCATGACACTGAGGCTTGTGAAGCCTACGTTTTCATCTCTTGCCTCTGGAGATGGAGTTAGAATGCTCATCGGCTATGCTCCCTTGTCCTGGGTCGCTGTAGCCGGTGGTGATGATAAGGGATATTTGGAAGAGTAGCTGGAATGAGCTCCATCCTGCCCAAGGAAGTTGATGGGCTAGTGTGCAAGCAGATAAGGACCCTGGAATAAAAGCCCACCCCTAGCTGGGGTTGAAGGGTGAGTATGTGATTGGAGATGGCATCATTCTGAGTTCAGGACTTGGGGCAGAGGGATTTATGGGAAGCCTTAGGGAGTGCATTTATGGCAGAGGTAGGTGTTATTTATGGCTAGGTGTGGGTCCGAGATCAGAAAAAAGTAACTGTGTAGCCCTCAGATTGGACAGGCATTGGAGACCTCAACCTTTCACAGAGATCCCAGGTACCTTGTGGTTTTCTTTCTTGGCTCCCTTTAAGACTGCAATGCCCTCGCCAGAGAGAAAGCTCTACAAACCCCAGAACCACATTAGCCCTGCTCACAGTTCTATGTCCAGCATCGGGCTGTGTACCTGGCACCCAAGAACAGTTGTTGGATGTTATTTGAAACCTGGCCCCTTTGGAGGAACTGAGAATCAAACTGCCCTTTGCGCTGTCCACATCATTGTGAAGACAAGCTTTGGGTTCAAATCTTGGCTCGACCAGTTTCACAGTAGTGCATCCAGCAAAATATTTAACACTGACTGGCTTTAGTTTCTGTGTATGTAAAACAAGATTAACCATACCCACCCTGTGGTTGGGATTAGAAAAGATATGCATGATAATGATATTTTATGTATGTTGTGTAGACAAGACCTACATGGCACATAGCTCAGAATAGGTATTTACTAAGTTGTCATCATTTTTTTTTTTTTTTTTTTTTAAAGAAAAGCAGACTGCCATGTGCAGCACCTCATTTGGGTGTATCTGCTCTTGGAAGCTTGACGAGCCTATGCTCTCCTACAAATGGACCTTGAGACCTTGTTTGGAGATTCTAGCAAGACAGTGCAGCCACTCATATGCCCTTGACTGAAGAGCAGTCCTCCTCTATCGGGGAAGGTCATCGTCTTCAACAGAGTGTGCAGCTTTCGGAAGGACGCACAGGGAGCAGTGAGGGAAGAAGGGGATGCCCGCCTAGCCAGGCAGTTTTGCTGAATCAACCCGGGCCATCAATGGGTTGCTGTCACACAGGTGGCAGCCAGATGGTCCTCACATCCTGTCTCCACTTTTTTGATCTCATCCTCATTACTACTCTGGTTTGCACATAATTCAGTGCCAATCACCTAAGCAACCCACTCGCAAATGTTTGGAGTCCATGCAGAGGATGGGCACTGGTCATGGATTCCTAGGACGGGCCTGGTGGACAGTAAATCAACATCTGGGTGCTGAGTGTCTCTGTGTTCCCAGGATCACCGTCGGCACAGAGGAGGTTCCAGGAAACAGAGAATGAGTCTCTCTCTGGGAGATACGACTGTGACATAAAACTTATTTAAGGCAGGGTTTGTCAAACAGTAAATCCCAACCCACTGGTGGGTCCTAACTAGAGAGAGAGAAATAGAGAGGGGAGAGGGAGAGAGAGAGAGAGAGTGAGAGAGAGAGAGGGAGAGAGAGAGGAGAGCTCAGAAAGTATTAGGCTCTATCATTCAGCCAGGGTAAATACTGTTTGGTGGGGCTTTGGTTTCATTTGGGCACACACACCAAATGCATTCACCATACTCTTCAGAGGCCATGACTTAGACCACAGCACCATAAAAGGGAAAAAACCAAATCCCTAGTCCTGTAGCATTGGGCTCAAGGGAGCCCAACTCTGAGCAGGCAGATGGTGAAGAAAACACAGCTTCACTCTGACAAAAGCTGACGTGGGCCAAGGCGGGAAGGTGGCCATGGTGTATGACAGCTCCGGGCTTCTGAACCCCAGTGTGGCCAGCCAGAGTCCTCGCCACAAGGCCAGGGCCTGGGCCATGAGCCAAGTGCAGGGATAACAGATGCTTCCTGTGAGCTGAGCTGGTGGGTCTCTTGGGGGAGAGGAAAGGGAAGAGCTGTTACTGCCCTAAACTGTTCAGGGAAGTTGCCCTCCTGTGGGGGCAGGGGTGGAGTGGTGAGCGGGAGGAACATTCCCTCATGATGGGGATGAAGCCACGTGTCCTGGGGGTTTAGCCTTGAGAGGGTGTGGAGGAGGAAGGCCACTCAGCCGGCACAGGCACTGGGCACTGGGCACGGTCTCCACGGAAGTCCCCTCATTTCATCCTGCAGCAGGCCTGCAAAAGGGAACTTCCTTCCCTTTCTCTAAGTTACAGAAAATGACATGCGTGCCAAAGAGGTCAAATAATGGGGCGAAACTCACAGCC